TGTTCAGTAAGATTTTGATCTGCAAGCTTGACTTCCTTTACTTTCTTGGTTATGAGGTAAAAAAGCGAGAGAAAGAAACCGCGACTGGTTGTTTCTGGTTAGACTACAAAACGAAGTCAATTAACTAGTACTTGGCCCATCCGAGCACTTCAGCTAAAAACGACCTTGAAAAACTATTTTAAATTTATTGTACTGACTAGATGAACGCTTTGCTCCCAGTTGCACGTCTTGGATAGCTGTAAAAATTCGTTTTATTTTTATCCTTTTTTAAGTCTTGTCATCAGCATCTCGTGGAACAAAGGTAATAAAATGAAATTGTCCGAAAAATGTCAAACAAAGAAAAAACCTAACATTTTACACCCGGGCGCTTTTGTTTTAAAAATTAGTGTCGTCGTGGCTTATCGTGTTGATGGGTTCATTTAATTTTCAAGATCGAAGCGGTGGATTGTCGGCTTCGTGGTGTAAAGTCTATCTCATGCAAACCATGATAATAATAATAATAATAATAATAATAATAATAATAATAATATTTAACGAGGGAGCCTAACTCGCCATAGCGGTTTTCAGTGGGGCCCTCATAAATAAGAAAGAACTTCAATCAGTGAAACGCAGGACATTTAAAATAGGATGAAACATAAAATCCATTAGTACACTACAAAGAAAAGCATCCTAATGACATCCTAATGACATAATTCGAAATCATTAGTAATTAAACACCGGCTGGTGGCTAGTCCAGCCGTTATATTAGGCCATGAATACAATATATCACGTGCAGTTTTTGTCGTTCACAAGTCCCACTCAACCTTCAGACACTACACAGTATTGGGCTTAAAGCAAATATTTTATTCGTAAAGTTATAGCTTTAAGTCTTGGTCCCTTAGTTGCATCAAATCCAATGGTAGGATGAAGGTTTTTAAAGAATATCGCTGATCAGTAAAAAGCACCTTATTTTTTTTGAAAACTATGGCTTCTTACTAGGGGCTATAATTTAGGGCTTTAGCTAGGAGAGAGATTGATTGAAGAGTCCTAAGTTGTTTTCAACGTAACCCTTACAGTTTCATCTGCTAGCACACAAAATTTGAAATCGGGTTTGTATCGCATTGTGGCGTACGAAGTTTCCGAAGTTGCATTTCTTTACGTTGGGGAGAACGGCCATCTGGGCGTACTTAGACTTTTCCTAAGAGAAAAATAAAAACGCGACAAAACCTTTTTGATATAATTTTTGAAAAAGGTTCATGAAAAGAGTCCTTCAGGAAAAAAAAATCAGTTATGAAATTTTGCAACTGTCGGCGGATTCTGGCTCTTAAGACACTGAAACAGACTCAGATTTATTATTATTATTTTGTTTTTCCTTTAGAATTTTCAGGTACCCTTACATGATGTCCATTTTGAGTATCCTGGTTTTCATGTTAGTGCAACGACATGTGGTGAGTAATGAAAAAAAAGATTAAATAATTAGTTTTAAGTTTTGTATCCAGGCAATATGTACAATATTCACCAACTGTGTTTTAATGAGTTGATACATTCTAATAGTGGCAGATATACCTAAGATACTCAACTAAAACGTTTGGGGAATCTCTTCAAATATTAACACCCGTTGATCGCGGTCGAAATGGTTCCGCACTCTCCCAGGTTAACCCCTCATCTCCTGAGAGTGACTAACATCTCATTTCTCACTGTGGTATCACTTCTGAATCAAATTAGACTCGTGACAATTAAGAAATTGATCACAAAAATTGAACAGCTCTTGATTTCATGTTCAACTAAATTGGAGAATATAAATGCTGATGTTAGAGTGCAAAGATTTAAGCCAAATAAAGGAGTACTATGTAATGCTTACAGTGTTTATCACCTATACTGTCTGACAGGTGTGCGATGACGAGCTCTTTCCAGTTTCCATGTTCGAGGTGGATTCTGATGAACACCAGCCGATTGATCCACAGAAAAAAGACGAACTTGAACCTCTCCAAGGAAGAAACGTCACTGAAAGGTGCGACTTGTTGCTTATACCAGGAGCTTAGCTTCTGGACATACATTAGATGGAGTGTCATTTCAATTACCTTGCACCATTTTGTATTGCCCACATTTTACATCGCTATGAATATTATCATAGTCTTAAGCATAATATTACTTGATTTGAAACAGAGATTTGTTATTATAACCGCCTGCCGGTTAGCTCAATGGATAGAGCGCTAGACCGTTGTGCGGGAGGTCGAGGGTTCGAGCCGCGGCCGGACCAACACTCAGGGTCTT